TCTTTGTGGAACAGTCTTGGGGGTATTACCTAGACAACTGCTTGCCCTCACAGCATTGTTCATACCACACTCACAAGCATTAACAATATTTTTTTTTAGAAATGGTCTAAAAGATCCCTACTGCACTAAACTCTAAAGAAACCTAAAATTTAGTTTTAAAGTCCACAGCTTCTATTTTAGATCTGAGAGAGGGCTTGCATATCCAAACACCTGGTTTTCCATATTACACGTATCAGTCTAATAAAATTATTACAACTGCCCATAAATCTTGCCCTTTCAAGACAATGTTAAAAATAGTAGAATCTGAAAAAGAAAACAGAACACATCCCTGTGCACTGTATTTATAATTGCTTTTGTTTTACTAACTCCAAAAGAAAGCACTATGAAGCTCAGCCCTAGAGAAATTTTTAAGATTAAAAGTAAGAGCACACACCATCAAGAGGATCGTTCAAAAGGAAAGCCAACTCAATTTTCTTGCACTCATAACTCAAATATATGAACTGAAGCACAAACTGCTTTTAACACACACTGAGAAAAAAACCAAACAAACAACCCAACACGGTGAGGCTCTTCAAAAAGAAATTAGGATTTCTAAAGAAACAGCACTTACACCATCATGGTGTGCATGTCAATGTGCAAACACACAAACGCTGGCAGAAGAATAGAGGTCTCGGAGATGCCGAGTTCTTACAAGCCTCCTGAAAACAGACAGATAGAGGAAATAAATCTATTGCAGCTTCTGCTAAGAAGGGTCCAGAGGGAGCCCCACTGAACTACTGGATACCAGAAAGTCCACATGGGGCTTTGGTGCCTAACGAGCTGTAAACAAACACAGTCACAAGTAAAGGCTTCATTAGTTTTGCTCCTTATAGAACCACTAGATGTGCTTTTTAATGCGTTATTAATTCACTGAACTCATTGCCAAAAGATGGAACCTAAGGACTTAATTAAAAAAAATTAATTCATGGAGAAAGCTTGCAAGCTTTATGTTTGAGAAGTTAAGGGATACAAATTAACGCCTAATTTTTAGGACAGTAAGGTAATCATGGGAGTTAAAGAAACAACATTCTTTATGGACACTTTGTTGGCATCTGATGCCATCCTTCCAGAGAAACAATTTTGCAATACACAAACTCTAATCCCAGAATCCCACTGCAAAAAGTAACTCACATGTCTCAGAAATTCTGTTAAGGTGAGTTGAACCACTTGCTGCTCAGACAAGTCCTTTCTCTTACAATACAAGTGTGACTGGCAAGATTTTAGACCTAATCACTGTACTAGCACTCATTTTCTATCCAGGATTCATAAGAATTCAAATTTTAACAATTATAATAAATGAAAGTTTATTATAATAAACGAAAGTGGTCACTGATGCATCTTCATTCTGCCTATAATCTCTTTTTCTCCTTCTAGGCTTTATGAACACTTGGAATTTGGGATTTACTCTATCCAGTGGTTTGGGGTTTTTTGGATAGTTCCATTCTGAAAAAGCCACAAAATTTGAGATTGAATTTTCTATTTTAATTAGTCATTGCCCAAGCTTGTGCACCCAGTGCAAAGTACTCGGGCAATTTCCCTCACATCACTTGAGCACTTGGGCATTCAGATTGTATGTGGACCATAAGTAGAAGTTGCATGCTCAGATAAAACCAATAAAACCATGTTTTCTGCTCATTGAGAGGCAGTGATTTCAAGAACAGTTTGATGGATGGCCAAGTTCTGGCTTTGTTTATACTAGTATGACTAAAATTCTCTTAGGGTGAACCCAGGTCTTATCTAACTGAAAAAAAAATGCAAATTAAGCACAGAACTTGAGTCTGAAAGTTTCAATTCTCCAGTTTTATCTCATCTAAAAATAAAGGCTGTACATTTTGGGAGACATCTCCTCCCTATGGAAAGTACTAGAATAATGCAGAATTTCACGGCTCATTGCTCTTCCTTTTTTTTCTTCTCTGATGAGTACCTGATCATTTCTCTCATTGTTTCTATGTAACAGCAGCATATTCCGGTAGATGAGAGGTTTTAAAAGAGGACTACCACTTTGGAAACTGTGCCAAAGGTACCATTTTTGAACCCATTCTCCCCCCTAAAAAACACACTTCTACACTGTGTTTGAGACAGACTAGTCATTCATAAGACTGAGTTGTTCAGAAACATTTTATTATAGCAAAAATTGGTCCACTCCCATCATACTTATTTTACTGCTGAAGCAGGAAATATTTTCTCACTCTACTGTCTTTATTTTGCCAACACGATAAAAAAAAATTCTCTCAAAATATTGGAGTGCAAAAAGTCCAAGCAAGACCAAGTCCAAGTCTCAGCAAACCAGAAGAAAAAGTGATTCTCCTACGGAACATGTATGAAATGCTCAGTATTTAAATTCGAGACCAAAGAGCATTCAGCTTCTCCCTCTCACTTGGAACATTTGAAACAAATTAAAGCAAACAAACAAACAAAGCCAGATTGTACATATATTTATTTCTGGATAAATATTAAGAATTCAATGAGAGATATGGAACACTAAGAAGGTATTGCCCTTGGCTGCACATTTCTATTTGGGTTGAGTTAATGCATAAGGAGGTCAAACCAATTAAGAACTCAGCTTACACTGAAAAAGTAACACTCCTTGTAGAATGTGTATGAGTTGCACATGAAGTGATGATGCTCAGAGCTGCCACACAGAGTCAGGAAAGTTTCACACAACGTTTGGGAAAAAATCAGAAATAGTCCAATCTCTGGCAGAGTCACCATATGGAGTTTACTGCAGTAACATACGTTTTGGCCACTCAGCATAACTCTGCTGCCAACAATGATAGACTGAATTGTTTCTTTACAAGACACATTCCTATAAGCAAACAGTAAATCCTGTCCAGAGAGGGTCAGACAGTTCATCAGAACTTCATAGTAATAAAAGGAACAAAAGAAAAACATCACATTTCAACAAACACTTTAGCATGCATGGTAAAAAAAAAAAAAAGAAAGAAGATTAAACTCCAAGCACATGGCACAGGATGCAAAAAGATACTCAAACCTATTTAGACAGTCATGGAATTATCTCTTGATACATTATGAGATGTTGTTGTCAGTGTGGTCAGAAAAACAAATACGCAGACATCTGTAGGAGATCCTTCAACTTCCTTAAGCCTCCCCATTTATTGCGTGTCTAATTTATTGAAGCATAAATAGAAAACAGGAAGGCAGACACAGGTAAAGCTCCAAATAAATGCTTGCCACTCTGTGCCACCTGGCACAGACCTCAGGTACCCCACACTCTGTGCCACATCAGAACACACCAATGAGTGCAGTGGAAGAGCTGCTGATCTCTGTAAGGATGTACCTTTGCCTCACTGAATCAAGTACCCACAGCCCACACCAACCTAAGGCCAGGTGAGGGCTGATGGATCTGGCTGGTGTAGCTCACTGGACTGCCCCACCTGCCCATTTTCTCTTTCCTTGCCCCTCAGCAGCAGCTCTAAACCACTTTGAGCAATCTGAGGACAAGGTTTGGCTGGATAACATTGCTACTTGCTACAGGACTTTATAGTGAAGTCATCAAGGAACACTGTGCATAATTCTGCCATCACAGCTGCTTCCACTGTGAACATCAGCTTAAGAGAGACTTCAATTGCTTTATGTGTTTTTGAGTCATCATTTTTCACACAATTAGCTATGATGACTTAATTTAGCAGAAGTAACTCTATGACTTCTTTTACTTTAAAGTTCTTTGAAAGGAACTGTCAGGTGGTAACTGCTTACGTTTCCACTGTAAATCCAGCTGCTTCCTGCATGTTTCAAAACACAGATGCCTCTGAAAACTGGTCACATAAACAAAATCCAAAACCATTAGAGTCAGTGCAGAGACTGATACTGATGACAGTGAGTTTTGGATCAGACTCTACAGCCCTGTCCTTTTACCCTGTTGCATTCTCTTCTGTCAAATTCTTTGCCTTTGAGTTGAACTGAAGATTGTCAATAAAATTCTACCTTTAAGCTATCAGTTCAGCAGCTGTAAAGAGACTAAGTGTTCAGACCAGAAGAGAATGGGAAAAACGGAAGAATAAAATGTATTATAAAGGCTGTCAATTTACACAAGCCCACTATTGACTTGCCCTGAGAATAGGATGAAATTTGGAAGACTTAATTGATTTCTGTGCCTGTCATTCTTACCTAGACTTGTCATGTAAAAACAATGGCTAAAATCACAGAATCTAACTTGTGAATAAGGAATCAACACTGGTAGATTACTCTTGGGAGTAACTGCACTTTTTTGTGTATGTAACACCTACTATCTAAAGCGCACTCACCAAAGACACAGTACAACTAATGAAAACCAGCACTGAACAAGATTTCTGTCAAGGCTCTGGTCTGGATTATCTCATGCAGCCACAGGGTTTTGCTGCCTTTGTCTTCTCACACGTGCCTATTGATGTGTCTGTGGACCACCCATCTGCAGCAGCTGCAATGTGCAATGATAGCTACTATCACACATGCAAAGCACTCTTAATTCCAAAAGGTGCCTCTTAAGGCCTCATGGTATTTAAGAAGACAGAAAAGAAACAAAGACCATCTGTCACTGCAAGCTAAACAACAACTAAGTTATCTACATACAAGGAAAATTACAAAAAATCGAACTGTCGTATACAACTACATCCCAAAATCATCATTTTCAGTGCCTTCTTCATTACAGTTCTTCTCTCTTCTTTTTCTTTTTTTTTAAATACACTAAATAGTATAGAAATCTTCCTCCAAAATAGGAATTTGGTATTTACTAACAGTTTGTAGAAAACCAAGACAAGCAAAGTTTTTTAAATAACCAATCTGGACATAAAAGTCTTGGTATCAAATTTCTGACTAAATGCAAAAAGGAACTGAAGTACACATTTAAACCAAGTATGCAGGATGGCTGACATATTTGTATGTCGATTCAGCTCTTCACTGGAATTAAAAAAAACCTGACAAACAAAAAACCCCACTAATACAAGTCATTTAGCATTCCTTACCTTGGAACCTGCCAGCATAGTTCTCAGCAGTTTTGTTCCTTTTCCAATACCGACCACTGCAAAGACAGAAGAAGAAATGCTACTTGAAAACCAGCCCTGCAGTTCCCTTACTCAACACCATTCACTGCTAAACATTATGCTGGTCAGAAACATTCTCTGTTAGCATATGAAGAGAGTCAACACTTTTGACAACAGGGGACTAGTGAAAGGAAAAAAAGTCTAAAGCAGGAGATAAATAACCTTCATCTATTGTTAAAATACTTTAATTCAATCCCTAGATTTATTTATCTTCTAATCACCAAAGAAATGAATAGTGCAATTAACACTCTCTGGTTTGATGAAGGCTATGGCTCACTAATATGAACGTAGCCTTTGCTGTTACAAATAACCCTTTTAAAGGTTGATAGTGACCAAGAGTAATAAAGCCAGGACAGCATAATGAAATTGTTTATCAGGCTTACAGCAAGAAAATAATCAAAAGGTCCAACTGCCTCAGTCAAAAAATCTTTTATAATCAAACCTTCCTATTACTGTGCATGTACAGGCTACTGCCATTTCAATCTTACACCACTATTCTAAAAAACAGCAGTCAGCTTTTCATAAATGGAAGGGACAGAAAAAGTGCTCTAGTTTATATTTTACTTTAAAGCTTTTTACAAGGTGCTTTTGTTTAAAATGCTTTCCTATTGATTTTTTCCACATACAGCAATACAAAGAAAATTTTAGAAGGAAATTAATTTTGTGTACAACTCTTGGAATAGGTATCAGCTTATGTACTTGATTTTAATAAAATTACAGGAGTTAAGGGAGTTTTCTGGAAATTAGCTTTGTGTTAGCCAGGGGCCAGGACCACAAACATCAAATTGAAAATTAACTTTTTTTTTTTTTTTAAAGCCCAAATATTTTACTTGTGCTCTAATGCTTCTCCATCTTTTTACTCTGAAACTCATTAGATTCTTTCTATTCTCAATTATTTCTCCTCTTATTCCTGAGGGGTTTTAGTCACATGTGTCCTTGTGCTTGCGCTTCTGTGTACCTTCAGTTCAGCCCATTCCTGTTATTTACCAGATAGGAAAGAGCTGCAAGAAGGCTGACAAAAGGAGATAAGCACACAGATAAAACTTTATAACCAAGCACTTCTCTTGCAACACAATGACATCACTGACACTTCAACAGCTGAGCTGAAGTTCCCTGAAGAGTGTCAAGACATTCAACAGAATAATTTTAAAGAGACATTGAATGCTTTTGTGAACAAGACGCACTTTTTCTCATTAATCGCCAGCAGCACATGCATTATTAAATGGTGACATAAACTAAACTTGCCAGACTGCACTGAACGTAACAAGGTTTAACTGAATTTTTATTTTTATTTTTTATACTTTTTCATTTTTTCTTCTACTGTGGAAGCATAATTCACTACTGCCATACAAAAACAAGTCAAATGCAGTTCCCATTGTACAACAGCAAACATCAAACTGAAACCACAGCCCTAGAATGAGATATTCACTAAGACCTGACCTTGCCTTTCTCTCACGTCATAGATCACAGACCTCTATCTTCAAGGTCCTTCCTCATCTACATTTGCTGTCAGTAAGAAAAGAAATATAAAAGTATATTTTTGATGAAAAGCAGTGCTCAGTTATTGGAGTACACTTGGCACACTAAGCAAGTATCAACTAATTCCCATGAACACAGTTATAAACATGCAGTACATAAAATGTGGGAAACGGTACTACAGATTAAGAAAGATTTCAGAAAATAAATACTTCTATTATGCTATCATCCATGAGGAAAGCAAGCTTTCTGCTCCACCAGCCCATCCTGAAAAGCAGCACAGATATTCTCAATGACTTGTTTTCGTTGTGTCCTTTCCTCTCTCCTCATTACCTTACCACAAGAAATCTGGGCACATTCCCTTTCCCACTCCTCTCCAGTTTTGTCCTTTCCAATCTAGCTACCATTGATTTTTCCCTGTATGTTTTGTATGGCAGTGGAATGAAAGATCCTATGTCTTTTTTCAATCGATCCGTAGCATATTAAGGTGATGCCTTCTCTTGTCTTTACCAAGCACATCAAGCCCAAGCCCTTTTTGTCATGCCACAGAAGCAGGCTTTGGAGACTACTGGGTATCAGAGAACAGCAGGAGAAGCAATTAAGAAGCACAAGTGATTTTTCTTTTCCTATGGATCAATGCTGTTGACTTTGCACAATAAGAAGTAGTATGTTCAAAGGCAACATCTGTGTAAAAGGAAAATGTCTGCTTCAGCAATGCACACAGAATTCTCCTGTGAGTGGCCACACACTATAGGAAATTGGAACAAAACAAGCTAGTGCTGATTTCTAGCCCAACAAGGTTAGATTTTGCAGTATTCACAACTGACAGAGACAATTACCAGCCTACAGGCCTCTACCAGCAACAATCACAGCAAACCAACCTCTCCTTGAAGCTGAATTGTTCTGGGGAGAAATCATACATCACAACTCAGTGCATTTACTTTCAGTGTATGCTCAGAGCTGTACCTGTTGATTTTCGACAGCAAAAACGTACTGCTGTTATTTCTTCAAGCCAAGCAGAGCTAAAAGGCTATGATTTAAGCAAGCTGTAGTTTGCATGTTACTTATCAATAAAACCATTGGTGACAAAGAATGATGTGGGAATAACACACCCACAGCTGAGTTTTTAAACACCAGCAAATTGACACATCCTGTTCTTTAATAAAACAAAGGAACGCAATAAAGGGATTGCTATCAAAATTAAAAGAAAATATCTTTGGTGACTCTTCTTTATGAAGCAAGACAGGACAGGAAGCAAAAACTGTTTCTGTACTGAGCCTCAAGGAAAGCAGCAGCTGAATTGCTCTTATACATCTTTCATTTGGCAAGTCTTACAGCCCTAAAGGCTCCCTCAAAATCCCAGGAAAGCATTACTTTGAGACAAAATACTTCAACAAATTATGTTGACTATAAACCCCCAGCTTAAGTTTAAAAAGCCATCAATTTCTGAGGTAATTTACAATTCATTACACAAGAGCCTATATTTTCTTGTAATAACCCACAAGTTATTTCAGGATTTGGGAGGGGGAGGTAGGAAGGGAGAATATAGACTTCTTTTAAGAACCATGTTACATGCATGTAAAAGTACATACAGAGGAAATTTAACCCAGACCACTCTTCCACAGTAATTTGTCCTTTCCCCAAAACCTGCCACGTGTATCCCAAAATGTTCCTCCACCTCTGATTTTAATAGGCATGAAAATGTTTCCTGAAATCATCTTTTGATGACTGTAATTATGTTTTTTATTACCCAGAACTCCTGCTGCTGCACTGTCCAAAGTTCCTCCATGTCCAATTTTCAAAACCTGATTTCTTTTGTTCTCATTTGTTTGCACACCAGCTTCTGCAAATAGAAATTGAAAGGAAGCATTATAGGATAACCTCAGAACATAGAAAAAATAGCACATATTTTCAGACTGTTAAAGGAAATAAAAATCAAATATTAAACTATTAATTAGTAGTGCAGAAATTACTGTACTGCAGAAGACCAGTGATTCATTTATATCTACTCCCAACCTCAAACAACTTGCAAGTTATTTCCACTTAGGTTCTAATGAAGTCTCACATACTCTCACAAACAGATGTTCAGAAAATACTCATAGTAAACCTGTGAAGTTTCATTACAAGGAGTGCAAGAACCAGCAGCTGAGTTCCCAAATCATCTATTATACAAAATTTTTATGCTACATAATCTGAGCAATTCTTGATGTATTTACTGCCTTGTACTGGGACATGTTTATTTGCATGCTTGCAGCCCTATGGAAACTCTGCAGTGAACTGAACTTGCTCACTGCTGCTTTCAAGCTGTCAGTGTCTCAACCCACCAAACTTCCTATGCAGCTGATGACTCCAGGAATTCTGGGAATTCCAATGTCCCTTATTTACCAGTATTAAATATGACAAAATGGCCTAAGCTCCCTTATTTATATCTATTATCTTTCCATTATGCCTTTCACTTCAGGGAATCAGATTTTTCCATATAAAACTGGATTGAAGTCTGTGCCTACACTACAGTTCACTACAGAGTAAATCACTAAGCACTCACTGGTCTCAAAGTATGCTCTCACTTAATCAGTAAGTGCCCAAAAGCCCAGATTAGATGATCAAGTCCCCATAATAAATTAAGTCCCCTTATTATATAAAAGATCTAGGCCATAGTCTCTCACACCTTTGCAATGTTATTCCCTAATATCTGACATCCAGGTTTCCCCATACTCTGAAAAAGCAGTTTCTGCAGATTGCATCCAGGACTTTCAAACTCCTTGGCACACTGTGGTTTTTACACGTTTGGTGATATTTTTTCCGAGGCAATAGGCAGTGGGACTGCAGCAGAACACTCTGCCAGCACTGCACTGCAGAGATGCTGCTGACACCCATTCCGGCAGACAGGTACACGCTGTGCCTGGCACAGGACAGCTCTCCAAGCAAGCTGGGATCCCCTGCACTGTGCAGGACTGCAGCTTTCTGCTGGGGAAGATCTCATCCCCATCCAAAATGACGGTTCACATCCTGCTGTACCTGAGCCGATAGCAGGTGCCCGCCCCCAGGACAGAGCGGTGAATGCGGTCTCGGCTCCGCGTGCAGTGGGACCAACACACGGAGTCTCGCTGGGACAGCCTTTCCTAAAGCACCTCCAGGGACGGCGACTCCACCACCTCCCTGGGCAGCCCGTTCCAATGTCTAATCACCCTTTGTGTGACGAAACCCCTCCCTAATGTCCAACCTGAACCTCCCCTGGTGCAGCGAGCCAGGACGTATCCAGGAAGGGATGCATTCCCGAGTGGGCCATGCCATGGCTGTGAACTACCACCAAACAAAGAAAAAAAAAGCCCCCCAAGAAACAACAACAGCAACAAAAATCCAAACCAAACCCCAGTTCTCCTTCAGTTTGCAGACTGTAGAGAAAGAGGGTGCGGGGGCTTGTCAGGGATTGTGATTCCAGCACGCCCAAGGAACGCACGCACATGGCACCCATCCCGCAGCCACGCCGGGCTGGGCATCCCTGCGCCTGTGCCGCTGCCGGCCCGGCCGCCTCTCCTCACCCTCACCTGCCAGCAGCCTCTCCTTGAGCAGGTTGAGCACGCCGGCCGAGGTGGGTCCCTTGGGCTTGTAGACGGCGAAGAGCCCGCTGAGCGAGAAGAGCCTCTCGGCCGCCGTGCCCAGCACCGCGCCGCCCGCCTCCCTGGCGGCCATGCTGCCCTCGGCCCGCCCCGCTCCCGGCAGCGCGCCCGGAGCGCCCGCTGGGACATGGAGTCCGGGCGGCGAGAACCGGGGCTTTTAAGGTCGCTTTAAAGAATCTCCGGCAAAGGACTCGGCAAAAGCGGGTCAAACGCAAATGCGAAAGCACGAAGCAGCTCGTGGGCGAGGTTCGCGCTGCTGCTTACTAGGGGGTTAATGCACGCAGAGAAAAAGCGAACTGAAATCTGTAAAGTCAATCAATCTGAAACTGAAATCAACTCCAAAAAATATCTATGTGGAGGCTGGAGGGGTGGGGGGGAAGGGTAAGGATAAGAAAGGGTAAGGATTAAGAGGAATAAGGGAGACCCTCCCGCTGATGACAAGGTTCAGAGAGGACCCCCTTGACAAACTGAGCCCCCGAAATTCACCAACAGTTTAGCCCTAAAGGTTTAACTGCTCTTAAAGCACTTGTAATCAATAGCTTAAGTTAAACAATTTAGCAAAGGACTCATATAGAATTTATTATAAGCTCTACATTAACTCACAGGCATAACTTACAAATCTGAAGTTCTTAAGAATCTAAGAGAGCAGCATTCATGGTACACTGGCTATAGCATATTCACACTTGCACATACAGACTCCTAAAGGAGTCTGTACAAGGTATTGTACCTGTGAAAGTGCTTATGTCAGATGCCTTTGCATCTTCTCAACAGATGAAGGATTGAGCCTCGAGGAATGGGGGTATCAGCCCGGACTCCATCAGCATTTGGTGATGGTCCTCAAAGTACAGCAAACGTGAGAATTCACTGACTCACATGGGGGCTCTGAGAGGCCCCACTCAGAGGGAGGTGCTGGTCACAGCCCAGTATGGTCCAGGAGAGCTCAAAGGGTCTCTCTTAGTACTGCTGTTCATAGGATTACAAAAGACTTGGCTTTAGTCATAGTGATTTTCCATCCTGGCTGCAATTCAGCTCAGTAACTTTCTTTGAAAGTTTGATAACAAAAATATCATTCCACTTAGCTTGTTATTCAGGCAAGAAAAATAAGTTTCCAAGGCTGTTCATTAAAAACGGGAGCTCGTTAGACAGTACAAGTTCCTGGGAACAGACCACGTTTCTGATAAGCTCAAGAGAAGCTTAGCCCAGGTGCTGTTTGTCAAGGCCAAGACCTAATAAGCATTTCTGAGATCACAGTGTGGCCTTTGGGGGGAGATGTTGGGGTTGGAAAGAGGCGCCACCACAGAGATCTGCTGGGTGGCAAGGAGAGCTCCCCCAACACAGCCCAGCAACTGGAGAGAGTGGCTGGCTGGTGGGCTGTCTGCTATGGGATCCTTCCCACTGTGGCTCCACCTGACACAGAGAGTATTGCAGGTACTGCTGGGGAGAGTTCACTGACCAGTGTGTCATGGTACATTCATTGCTCAACTTGAAAGAATTATATTAGAGAGGATAAGAGGAGGTAGCCTCAGTCTGCACCAGGAGAGGTTCAGGTTAGACATTAGGAAGAATTTCTTCACAGAAAGAGTGTTTAGACATTGGAACGGGCTGCCCAGGGAGGTTGTGAAGTGACCATCCCTGGAGGTGTTTTAGGAAAGACTGGATGTGAAACTTAGTGCCATGGTCTGCTTGACATGGTGGTGCTGGGTCATAGGTTGGACTTGATGATCTCAGAGGTCTTTTCCAACACAGCTGATTCTGTGATAATCTGCTGACTAGTTGCTGTGTCCATTAATCTTCCTGCCTTCTTATGTGTCATGTAAGAGAATGCTGGGAAGGCTTCTTCTGGATCTCTCACTTCCATACATAAGTAGAGTGTGTGGGATTTCCTCTTCAGGACTGATTTGTACAGACTCATTTCTCTGACAACGTTCCCAATGCATTTGAGCAAGCTATGCTCCAGCAAGGCACTGAGAGTTTAGATGTTTCATTCATGGATTTCATTTATTCATTTGTAAGAGCCTGCAGATGAAATCATGAAGAGACACTGTTACAGCGAAAAAAATACATGGCTAGTTAAGGGCTCTGCGTGTTCCCAGACCTTCCCAAAGCTTGAGAGAAGCAAATCTTCCTGCTGAAGTCAATGGCTATCTCTGTGCAGAGCAGGATCAAGGTCCCTGTGTGGGTTTTCAGCCCATGCTGGAGTCAGTGGCTCACTCCATGCCTGCTCACACCTTCCCCAGCAGCTGCACAGGGCACAGAGCTTCCAGCTGGAGCTGCCACCACTGCATCCATGAGATGGGAAATGGCTTCCTGCCCCCAGCAAAGCTGAGCAGCCTCCCCTGCACACTTCTTGTGTGTATTATTAACTAGGCACCTTATTTGCTTAGATCTCATCTACAGGGCTGTAATCTGACTTTTACCATAAACTGCGAGGATGGTGATGAGTGGTACATGTGGCTGTCATTGCAGGACATGAAGTGAGGTGTCAGAGTCCTTCTCCAGAAGATAAAACGGCAAAGCCACACTCGGGTGAAAGGTCAGCAGGAAAATTACCACTGATTTACATGGAGTTAGAATTTAAGCAGAGTTGTGGAAGGCATGTTGTAAACTGTGATGGAATTTTTGTTGCAGACATGGTTTAATCAGGTTGTTTGAAAACTATTCTCACCAATTTCCTGCTAAAAAGAGCTTAAACACAGATTGCTCTGTATGTGGGAACAAGCAAAACTATTCAAATATGACTATTAAGAAATAGTGTTAGTGAGCTTCCAAGCAGGAAGATTGCAGCCTAAGGACTGAAATGCAAACCTGTCACTCTGTCATGACCAGCAATATCTTTGGGTTACTAGACTGTTCTGAACACATCACAAAGGATTGGAGGGAGATTATACAGAAATGAGAGCTTCACTCTTGGCATAAAATCATCCTTAATACAAAAAGCACCTTAACTTTCAAATAATGCAGTGGCAGACAGGTTCTGTGAAAAAACTCCCTGTACTGCCTTCTCAGGACTGACCTAAGCTAAGAATAGTCTAAAATTACGTCATTAACCTGACACAGGCACAGACCATGAGCTGAAAGGTAGTGTCTGACCCCCAGCACTGTTTCCACAAATGGCAAAAAGCTTTGCTTTTCTTTTTTTTGGGGGGGAGGGGAAAGGTGTCTAAAGAAACTGCCCCCAGTCTCATTTTTAGTATTGAGCAGGAAGTTCTTGTAGGTCCCCCAAACTTCTGCATCCGCAATTAAAACACAACACTTTGTTATTGCAGCAGATGGAGTCTTTGAAGGCTTAGAAAGAAGATGTTTGCTTTGACTTCGGTGGGCATTGGACAAGGGCCCAAAGTTAGAATTGTGAAAAACAATTAATGACTGTCAGTATTTTAGTTAGCTGGAAGTGTATGTGTACATAAATCACACATGGCTCTCTTTGTGGGACAAGGTTATTCAGCATTCAGAATGGTGGGAATGATGCACAAAAGTGTTCATCTCAAGGGCTTTATTTCAGATTTTCCTTGTGTTGCTTGTGATTAGAAGTCATTACCATCTGCTCAGCGGCTGATTTGAAATGAGATGTTTATCTCCAACGATTCCTAGCCAAGCCAGGATTCACAACAACCAGAAGTATGATTAGAGTTACTGACTTTATTTGCAACCTTAATAAAGGGGCTCAGTAAATGGCTGAAAGGACAATGTTGCTTTATGCATGGAACATGACAGGTCTACTAGAGGCAGGCCAAATCCTCCACTTATGTGTCTGGAATTACAGAGAGTAATGCCTCAAGGATCTGGTGCAATTACGCTTTATACAGAAGAGATAATGGATAGTAGCTGTTGTACATGCAAACAGCAGATGAGTGCTATTGCAGAGGAGGAGAAATCCCTGACTTGCTTGTGCAGAACAGATGCAACACTTTCTTCTACCTCCTCCAGCAAATGCTCACTGCTCTGTGTGCTTTCAGCCTGGCTTTGTATGAGGTAACGTTCACAGACCACAATGCAGAGGAAAATGGTGCTGCAGTACAGCTTTTGAAGTAGATTCAGCAGCAACAGGCCATTCCTGTATTTGTGCTCACTTCATATTCCAGCTTTATCATCTGTAGCAAAATCAGAGCAAACAATGGCAAGGAGGTCAATCACAGCTCATGGTCTTCCTGTAAAATGAAGAGTTGCAGCTGTTTGAAAGTTCAGGTCACAGTCATGTAAACAGCTCCCTTGTCAGCTAGAGGGATTTTGTCTGTAGTAGGAACTATCAAAGTCTGAAATACATAGATTTTTTTCCCCTCTAATTGTTCCATCTGTTTGGATAATAAGGTGTAGATAAATAACATCAACTTGTTAGTTCATTTGGTCCCGTTCAAACAGGTATGAAGCACATAACTCATCATGTGTGTGGTTCTTCTGAACAAAGGTAAATTCTTCAGTATCTTGTTGAACTGCAGCAGTTTTGAAAAAAAGGAATATCAGTTACTTCATGCAAGGGAAAGATAGAACTACCCACGGCATACACTCATCTAGGTTTGGCAAATATTGTTAGTCATTCTCCCCATGAAAAAAGATGCCTAAACTGCAAGTATTTCATGAGCAGATTTTTTGCATTTTGTTCAGAAGAGGATCAGTAGTTAACGTTTATAGCAATCTGGATTTTAAGTCTAGACTTATTTATTTGTAGGAATATTTTCTTTAGATTTTTGTTCTGGGTTCTTTGATATTAGAGGGATTCTTTTTAATTGTGAATAGCTGAGATAAGGGGAGGTTTTGGTGAGCTGATTTAATGTACATTTATAGTGTCAATTTGAGTTGGACAGACTACAGTAGAATCCAAATGTTTTTAGCTATTCCATCTTCCTGTGAAATGCAGTTTTGGCAGTTAGCTAAACAAGAACACAGCAATTTTTCCTCACCACTGGTAGATGCAGAGCTACAGAAAAATATGATACAGATGTAATTTCAATTGTTCCTTATGGACCCTTTATAAACATACTGCATTAGTGATGACAGATCTGGAAAAACTTTTAATCTCTGATACATGCCCAGGTCTGTCTATAATGACAGAGGACTAAGCATAGTATGCAATCAGAAGATTCAGTGATGCTGAGGGAAAAAAAAAAAGAAAATACATTTTGAAAATCTTTGATTTTGTTGCTAAGAAAATGTCAGTGGGATTCTCAGGTTTTGTTT